GTACAACATACAAATAATAAAACTCAACTTAATACACAATATATTTTAAAATAACTTCACAACAAAAATACAAATATCAACAAAATCTTTGTTCATATCTCATTAAAAAAAACCTTTTAATCATTCTACTAAATGAATAAATTGTTCCAGCATTCGTAAGGTCACCAAGTACTGACTTTATTCTCATAATATTACAACTTTATTCTCATAATATTACAACTTTATTCGCATATTATGACTTTATTTTCATAAGAATAATAAAAAAATATGTGTTATCTCCGTTGTAGATACTGGAGCTAAACTTAAATTATTGTTTTCTTTATTTACGTTTACCTTTTTAACTGTGAATTTATTCTTCCAGTAAAAAGAAGCATTTTAAGTCCGACATGAAACTGATCACCATGGTAACGGGGGAGCACGTGGTCACGCAAACCCACGTGAAGCCGACATCAGGCGAAGGCTGGACCATCTCATTTCGCAGCAGTTTTGAGCATCCTACCCGGCCCAGCAAGGATGTGGCCTCCGTGGCCCAGCTAGGCTGGGTCCTCATGAGGACCCAGCCCATGAATTGAGACACAGCCAGGGAGTTAAAGCTGCAGACAGGAAGTTAAACCCGCAGACGGGAAGTTAAAGCCATAGACGGGAAGTTGGAGCCGCAGACGGGAAGTTGGAGCCGCAGACGGGCAGTTGGATCTGCAGACGGGCAGTTAAACCCGCAGACGGGCAGTTAAACCCGCAAACGGGAAGTTAACCCGCAGACGGGAAGTTAAACCCGCAGACGGGAAGTTAAACCCGCAGACGGGAAGTTAAACGCTCAGACGGGAAGTTAAACGCGCACACGGGAAGTTAAACGCGCAGACGGGAAGTTAAATGCGCTGACGGGAATTTAAACCCGCAGACGGGCAGTTAAACCCGCAGGCGGGAAGTTAAACCCGCAGACGGGCAGTTAACCCGCAGGCGGGAAGTTAAACCCGCAGACGGGAAGTTAAACCCCCAGACGGGAAGTTAAACCCGCAGACGGGCAGTTAAACCCGCAGGCGGGAAGTTGGAGCCGCAGATGGGCAGTTGGATCTGCAGACGGGCAGTTAAAGCCGCAGACGGGAAGTTGTACCCACAGGCAGGAAGTTGTACCCACAGGCAGGAAGTTGATTTGTTTTAAAGGAATAATCGCACCAGAGAAATTCAAATATTTGATGTTTTAGTTTTTGTATGTTGTGGTTTTCTGTCTGCAGGATGATGTAGTGATGGGAACTCTGACCGTCAGAGAGAACCTGACCTTCTCAGCGGCGCTGCGGCTCCCGTCGACCATCAGTCAGCAGGAGAAAGACCAGAAGGTCACCAAACTGATCCAGGAGCTGGGACTGGGACGAGTGGCGGACTCCAAGGTGAGGGAGGAGGGAACACCAGAAAATAATCAACACAAATATAGAAACTTATTTCCTGTCTCTAACGTTTGGAACCACTGAATTAACAATAAATGCACAATATCACCTGCGACTGTTTGTTCAGGTGGGCACTCAGCTGATTCGTGGGATCTCCGGTGGAGAGAGGAAGAGGACGAACATCGGCATGGAGCTGATCATCGACCCGCCCGTGCTTTTCCTGGATGAACCCACCACTGGACTCGACGCCAGCACCGCCAACTCTGTGCTGCTGCTGCTGAAGAAGTGAACATTTCACGTTTTTACTACAAGATTCACCTGCAGACAAAACTCCAGAATCTGCATCCAGTTCTACTTTAACATACTTTTAGCTGAACTCTTTTTAAGGTGGTGACCAGGGGCGGAGCTGGACTGTTTTGCAAGGGGTGGCCAAGGTGTTGTTTAGGGGGGCACATGCAAATAAAAAATAAGAATTTAAAATTTCAAATTGGCCACCAAACGACTAATTTAGCTATTTGAAGAATTATTGAATTGAAATTTGTTGTGGAGTAGCTAAAAATGACTGCTAATCCCAATTTAGTTGCTAATGTTAATGTTAATATCACAAAGGGCTGTAATTCAGCTATTGTTAAACATACACAGCTGAAAATTTATAATGGTAGTAGCCGAGAACAATCTTGAACAAAATCTGAATGAAAATACAAAATCCAAGATGGCCGTTAAATCTAATTCCATTTGGGTACATCTCAGCCTTTTAGAAATACTGAGCTGAAGGTTTGAATGTTGGTAGCCAATAGCAATCCCTCACAATCTGGAAGCTAATCTCAAGTTTAAGCTAAAGGCTAATGCTAACTTGAGAAAGATATTTCAGTCAATTTTAGACACATAAAACTGAAAATTAGAATAAAAGTACCCAACAATGATCTTCAACAAATTCTGAATGCAAATCAAAAATTCAAGATGGCCACCATAGCTAAATTCAAACAGCTATAACTCTGATGTTTTTAAAGCTACTGAGCTGAAACTTGGTGTGTTGGTAGCTGAGCATGAGTGCTAATAAAAATATACAAAATGGCTGCCTTATCTGAAAAGGAAAAATACTATAATTCAGATATGCTTAGACATTAAGCTGAAATTTAGTGTGGCGGTCACTGAGAGTTCAACAGATTCTGAATTCAATTTAAAAAAAAATCCAAGATGGCCACTGGAGTGAAGTTTAAATGGCCAAAACTCTGATATTTTCAGAAATCTTGAGCTGAAATTTGGTGTGGTAGTGCAGTCAAATCACACATTTAAAATGTTGAGCAGATGACAGTCCCTGTAGAAGTTGCTCCATGTCGATGCTATGTTACAGACTGGCCACTGGGTGTCGCCCAGTTTTCATGAACTGGTTCTTAAACCCAGAGTTATTACACAAAGGTTAGTGGCTCTAACTCTTAAACCTGTTGTTTCTGCAGGATGTCGAACCACGGCCGCACCATCATCCTGTCCATCCATCAGCCCAGATACGCCATCTACCGCCTGTTCGACAGCCTCACCCTGCTCGTCAACGGCAAACAGGTCACTGCGGCTGCTGTTTACACAACCCCCCATCATCAGTAAAGACCAGAACACTAACTCCACATTTTAAACCCCTCAGGTTTTCCACGGCCCGGCGCAGAGTGCGCTGGACTATTTCTCTGACATCGGTAAGATCATGAATGAAATATTCAGTGAGATCTGATCCAGAACCAGGATGAGCTGAACTCTGCTGTTTCCCAGGATACACCTGTGAGGCTCACAACAACCCCGCTGACTTCTTCCTGGACGTCATCAACGGAGACTCGACCGCCGTCGCTCTCAGCAGCCTGGATGGAGAAGGTGTGTTTAAAAAAACTAACAACCACTGATTATGAACTTTTAATTTAAATATAGTAACATTATTAAGATTCAAAATGTACAAAACCAAAGAAAAAGATGAAACAAAGAACTTTAAATCAAATCAAACTTTATTTATATCATGCGTTTCATTCATAGAGACCCAATGTGTTTTTTATTAGGAACAAAACAAAATCCAAAAGCAAACAAAATGTCTTTAAAATTCACAACTGCTTTAAATTTAAATGAGCAACTCATGGTTCATAAACCTCGTTTTGTATTGATGAAACAAATCTGATGTTTAGTTTGATAAAAAGAAGTCTGATTCTACAATAATAGGAGGATAAAAACTGGAAAAGAAAACATTTTGACCAACAAGACTTAAGTTTATTTGAACTCTTTTAGTTTGATTAACTGAGCAGAGTCTCCTTTATAATACCAACACCAGACTCCAGCGTGGAGCGGCTGAGTGAAGGTGGTCTGGACTCTGTGGAGGAGGGTCATGGTGTCAGAGACCCTGTAGAAGGACAGAATACCTGCTGCGTGGTCCAGGTACACTCCGATCCTGGAGGAACCAGGACCTGAGACTAGAGTACGGGTGTTATTGTGATAAAATGCACAACTGTCTGTGTAACAACATAAGGCCCAGGATTGGTCATTGGATCCAAATTTAGTTTCATTTGAATTTCATGCTCTGCTGATATTCTTGTAGAAAACGGCTGCACAACCTCCACCTCCTCTCCTCTCCACCTCCCAGTAACAACGATCACTCAGACTCTCTCTGCTCAGAACCTGATTATATTCAGTGAACCTTTCTGTCTGATCAGGATAAAACCGTTGTCGTTTCGTTAATGTTGCTTTTCTGTTCTGTGAGCTGTGTTTGGATCCAGAGTGAGTTCTTTTGAATATTTTAAGAACTCAGATCTGGTTTTTAGTTCTGGTTGTGGCAGAAGGACTTCGACTTCAGAGACTCTCAGTGAGACGTTTGTCCAGGTGTCCCTCAGGACGTCCTGTATCTTGTCTCTGAGCTGGTCCACAGCTGTCGTCACGCCCTCTGTTTTATCAGCAGAGACATTGATGGCCTCCACCTCCTGTTGGAGCAGCTTCACATCTTTCTCTCGCTCCTGGATTCTCTGCTGGATTTGTTGTCGGCTCTCCTCCAGCTCTTTCTGCGTTCTGGGTTTTAAAACATCTCATACAGTAGCTGTGTCTACAGGGAACAGTCTCAGGATCCTTCAGGAGATCCAAACAAATGGAACAGGAGAATTTTCTTGAATCCATCTGGTTTCTTGCTGCTAGTTTCACCTCTTGAGAACTGGAAACAAAAAAACCTGCGTTACACCAAAAGTCAAGCCCAGATTTTCTTTCCTTCACTTTTATTTCCTGGTGTCTGTTCAGATCTGTTGAAAAGGAGGAACCAGGAAATAAACTGTTGGAGCTGAACTCTGTTAAAGAGACAGAGCAGATTAATAACTGGCCTCATTCCAGAAATATGAGCTGTTGGAGGGTGCAGTGCAGACCTTTCAAGATTCAACTGTAGTGTTTTTATTACAGTGTATATTTTTGATCACTTACATTGTTTGACATGTAGCAGACAGTGAAAGGTAGGCAGTAATGTTATTTCCTCTGTGTTGTTGCAAAAATAACCACAGTTCACTCCAATAACAGAATATGGACCACAATTAATGATGTTCCTTCAAAGGTTGGTTGTTCCTAATTGGTTGGTTGGTCTTACTCTTTGGTACAAATGTTCAGTCATTTGTGAGGAGGGTCCATCCCAGCAAAAACATGCTTCAGGCGTCTCCCAGGGAATATATGTCAGACATGGTGCTTGCATAGATGCTTCCGTACAAATCCAGGCTGAAAAACTTTCTCTTGCAGATAAACTTATGCAAGTTCTTGTTTCCTCTGTGCAGAATCAAGTCAAGATTCAGATTCTGTGTCAAGGTCTAGAAAAGGAATCGAGGACAAACTGGTGGAGGAGTACAGAAGTTGTCAATACTTTAAACAAACCAAAGAAGAGCTGGGTAAGTACCAAAAATATTTAATTGTTTTTGTTAAAGCACATTTATCTTTACGCACCATTAAGATCCTGATGAATCACAAACTCAGACACAAAAGGTTGATGATACAACAAATGTTTTGCTTTGATTCAACTTTTTACACCTTTGGTCTCTTAGAAAGGATCGTTCAGGGAAATCAGAACACCAAGTACTCTCCCTCCAGAACCATCACCTACAACACCAGTTTCCTGACACAGTTCCGATGGGTTCTGAAGAGAACGTTCCGTAACCTCATCCTCAACCCTCAGACCTCCATCGCCCAGGTAGAAACACCTGTCGAGCTCCAGCAGGTTCCCCTTAAAACTGAATATAATCTGTGGTTTTGACAGGTTGAAGTTTGAGTTTTTGTCATGTGTTTAAAATATTCCAGTTTTATTTAAATCAGTTGTTTCTTGTGAGTTCACCTCATGTTCTTGTATTAAACAGCTGACTTTATGGTATTTTTTGTGTTTAGGTCGTTGTAACGATCTTCCTCGCTCTGATTGTTGGAGCTCTTTTCTTTGGCATCAAAGAAGATGAGAACGGCATACAGAACAGGTACAGTGTCGCTGCTATATCATCTTATTTAATAATTAAACCATCCGGTTTGTTGCGAGCTTTAATTTTAAATAGGACTTTAACAAGTTTGCCGTGTTTTCAGGCTCGGTTGTCTCTTCTTCATCGTTACCAATCAGTGTTTCGGCTCGTTGTCGGCTGCAGAACTTTTCATCACAGAGAGGAAGCTCTTCACGTAGGTCTGACACACAAACACACCTGTTACCCATCAGGTCAATTATCACCATAAAAAGGTCAAAGGTTCGGTTACTTTAGGACTACTCTTCTGAGTCTCGTCTGCTGCTCAGAGATGATGAAACGTTTCTTTTCCAGTCATGAATACATCAGCGGTTACTACAGAGTGTCCGTCTACTTCCTGTGTAAGATCCTGTCTGACATCATCACACTAAGGACCATCCCCGCCATCTTCTTCTCCTGCATCGCCTACTTCATGATCGGTGGGTAAAATACACAAACGTTTCTCTAACATTAATTTATTCTCTTTGTTTTTTGTTTGATATTGTCAGTGTAAATCAAATACAGGTGTATTATGTATGCCTGTTCTTTGGTTATCCGTCTGTGCGTTACTGGGTACGAAATTTCATCTGTCACACTGTCTTGTAGGGCTGTGTATTGGCAAGAATTTGGCGATACGATACGATATATTGCGATATATTGTCCAAAAATTCTATTAAATAAAAACCTCTTACTGAAAAAAAAGAAAAGCTAATGTTTACTTACAATGCTTACATTGTCTCCTACAATGCTAATGCTACCCTTACTCTCTGTCGCTCAAGAGGTAGAGCAGCCAAATGGCTGGCTCACTGCTGACAACTAGTGGTCAGAGGCTGAACTACAACATTAAAATGAACGGTTGGCAAGAAGGTTGACATTTTAAACCTTAATAAAAAATCGATACAGGGCTTTAGAATATCGATACAGTTTCGGGAAATAAAATACCGCGATATTTCAATGTATCGATATTTTCTTACACCCCTACTGTCTTGTGTGCACTATATCTCCTGAACACTATTGAATTCAGTCCAAATTCACACAATTGTTCTTGGCTCAATGGAGGTCAAAGCTGAGGTCAGGTGAAGTGATCTTTGCTGCTTGAATCTCTTTATTTTGGATGCACAAGTGGTTGGTCACTGAAAATAATGGTATGGTAAATATCAAAGGAGTCATGTTTAGACGTTGTTGATATAGTTAAATACTTCTTAGAACGTTTAAGTCCAAAAACAGAGGTGCATGTCTGTCCAGTGCTTTAAATGCAGACGGGTCTTGTGCAGGTGGAGGCAGACCAGTCGATGCTTTAGTGTCAAGTTCTACCTTGTTGAGTTCTTATCAGTTGTTTTGTTCAGCTCTCTGGTCTTTATTGTAAACTAACTTACACCATAGGTCAGAAACTGTATCTGGAGTATAAAAGGAGGGAAGCAGTTCTTCAAAAATGTGTAACGTTGTATAAAGAAGCGATGATGATGATGATTGCCAAATCTATGTGCCTCTAAGACGAGCTGATGCCTGGTCCATTAAAACTCTTTTATCATGTCTCGAGGATCTCAAAGCTTGGATGGCCCTAAACTTTCTGCGTTTTAATGATACAAAGACTGAGGTACTTGTTTTTGGGCCTAGTGGAGGATGTCAGAGCTCTCCAGTCAACTTAGATCTCCTAGCATCTTAGATCCACAGCTACGAAACTTGGTTTTAGGATGGACAGTGATTTTAAACTCGACAATCAAATAAAGGCCCCAGTGAAATGTAGTTTTTAATCACCTATGGAAAATAGTAAAGATAAAATCTCTTCTGTCCAGGCATCAGTTTGAAACAGTAATCCATGCCGTCATTACATCACAGCTGGATTACTGTAATTCCCTCTATCTCAGAGTCAGCCAGTCATCCCTCACACGTCTGCAGCTGGTGATTAATGCTGCTGCCTGTGTTTTAACAGGAACACGTAAGAGAGATCACATTACCCCTGTCCTGGCCTCTCTCCACTGGCTCCCCATACGTTTTAGAGTTCATTTTAAAATTCTTTTGTTTGTTTTTAAGGTTTTGAACGGCCTTGCTCTGCTATATTTAACAGAGTTCCTCCATCGTTACACTTCCTCTCAATCCCTTAGGTCTGCTGACCAGCTGCTCCTGGTCATTCCCACCTGGAAGAGGAAGAGTCTTCTCTCTTTGTGGCTCTAAGCTCTGGAGTGCCTTACCATTGCTCAGCCGACAGACCCCCTCTCTGTCCATTTTTAAGACCCGTCTGAAAACTTTAACTCATTGACCTTTAACCCAACTGAGACTTGATTTTACTTAATTTTAGTGATTTTTATCTGTTTTTATCTTATTTATTTTTCTTTTACTGGTGTTCAGCACTTTGTTTCAGCTGTGGCTGGTGTTCAAGTGCTTTATAAATAAAATTGATCATGTTCATAACTAAAGTTCTACAGGGATCCCAGGGGTCCTTGAAATCCTTGAAAGTTTGTGAATGTGAAAAAATGATTTCAAGGCCCTGGAAACATTGTGAAAACAGCCAAAAATTACACTTGTCCTTGAAAGTGTTTTTGGGGATTGAAGCTTTCTATTCACACAACTGATTTTCCTCATCTGTAAAAGAAAAAAAGAAAATAAAAGAAACTCACATTTGTTGTGGTGGAGTTACGGTAAAATGACGTGGCTTTCAAAATGTGAGCCAATCAAAGTTTTACCCAATCAGAGTAGAGCAGGGCCATTCTTTGAGCCCAGGTGAGAGCGCCACAGCTCCTCCTGTCCTCACTGAGCATCTGGACATTTTCATATCCCCTCCTCCCAAACTGAGCTGCTGAAACTCTCAGAACATACAAACCCCAAAACCAGAAAAGTTGGCACGTTGTGTAAATCGTAAATAAAAACAAAGTACAATGACTTGTAAATCTTTTTCAACCCATATTCATCTGAATAGAATGCAAAGACAATATATTAAATGTTCGAATGGAGAAACTTTATTTTGTTTTGCAAATAACCATTAACTTAGAATTTAATGGCAGCAACACATTGCAAAAAAGGTGGCACAGGGACATTTTTACCACTGTTACAACGCCTTTCCTTTTAACAACACTCAGTAAACGTTTGGGAACTGAGGAGACCAATTTTTGAAGCTTTTCAGGTGGAATTCTTCCCCATTCTTGCTTGATGTACAGCTTAAGTTGTTCAACAGTCCGGGGTCTCCGTTGTGGTATTTTACGTTTCATAATGCGCCACACATTTTCAAYGGGGGACAGGTCTGGACTGCAGGCAGGCCAGGGGAGGACCCGCACTCTTTTGCTACGAAGCCACGCTGTTGTAACACGTGCAGAATGTGGCTTGGCATTGTCTTGCTGAAATAAGCAGGGGCGTCCATGAAAAAGACGTCGCTTGGATGGCAGCATATGTTGCTCCAAAACCTGTATCTACCTTTCAGCATTAATGGTGCCTTCACAGATGTGTAAGTTACCCATGCCTTGGGCACTAATGCACCCCCATACCATCACAGATGCTGGCTTTTGAACTTTGCGCCTATAACAGTCCGGATGGTTCTTTTCCTCTTTGGTCCGGAAGACACAACGTCCACAGTTTCCAGGGATAGTTATTTATGCAAATAACTTATCTTACACTTCTTATAAC